TCATTTGAGTGGTTCTTCAGATAAGCTGAAATCTTTGCCATTTCAGCAAGATGCGAAACTTTCAATCTCCAATCTTCCATTGTTGGTAAAATTTTACTCTTCCAGTTTTGAGCTATCAGCAAACGGGCAGCAGTTAAACAGTACAACATCAAATTAATTTCTTTTACGTCCAAATTTTGTGTAATACCTAGGAGAAACAAGTTTTTGGCATTCTTCACTGTACTCATATTATATTGGTTCCCAATAGGTTTCTGAGTGCAATTCAAGGTGCTGGTTGTTACCTATAAAACCCTACAAGGCATTTTTTGGTTCCCTGCTGCCGGACTCATCGCTTCACCCGGAATGTACTCCAGGACGGATCTGCTGGTCCTGCGCGATTCCCCCCTCGCGCAGGCCTGGCCCAGTACAATCCCAAGGGCCTGCCTTGATGAAGGGGTGTGGAGCCCCGAGAGGTGGTATGCAGCAGACAGAGGGAAAAAAATGAAATTAAGGGCTTTTTTAGAGGGGTGTTTTAAATTTTTTTAGGGGGTATGGGGGTGGTTAGGGGGGGCAGGGGGGATGTCTCCCTGAGGCCAAGGTCGGCCATGTCTGAGGGACGCGGCATTAGAATGGTGAGGGGGGAGGTTGGGGGGCTAAGGGAGGGTGGTGTGATCAGTACGGTCAGTGGGAGGGGCAGATATGGCGGGAGCAGAGGACCATATCGGGTTCTGGGAGCACGCACATGCTGCTTACAAGCTTGCGGGTGCTCCGGTCCTCAGGACTCTACTCGGTCTCCAGGGATCTTAGACCCTCGGGCCTGGGATCACCGGCTGATGCTATGCAATGCCAGGTCCGTGGTGAACAAGGCCCCCCTCATTCAAGATCTTATTCAAGAGGGGGGTGCGGACCTGGCAGGGATTACCGAGACCTGGCTGGGCACGGAAGGGGGTGTACCCCTCGTGGACATCTGCCCGCCGGGTTTCCAGGTATTTCATTAGCCAAGGACCCGGGGTAGGGGCGGCGGGGTAGCGGTCATTATAAGGGAGAGCCTATGTCCGAGGGAGACCACTGTACCTCAGATAGACGGTGTGGAGTCCCTCCTTGTGAAATGGGGACAAGGGGTACAAGTGGGCCTGTTGATTATATACCTGCCCCCCTGCTATGTATCAACGGCCCTGCCTGAGCTGGCTGACGTAATAGCCGGGGTGGCGGTTGGGACCCCCAGACTTATAGTCATGGGGGATTTCAATCTGCCATCAGTGGGCGAAACGTCGGCGGCAGCTCAGGAATTCTTGGCTTCCATGACGGCCTTGGACTTGACCCAATTAGTACATGCCCCCACTCACATAGGAGGACACACACTGGATCTAATTTTTGTCTCTGGCCAGTGGCAAAATGATCTGGAAACAGGGGAGGTAATCATTGAGCCTCTGTCATGGTCAGATCATTCACTCCTGAAGATGGACTTCCGGACCGCTCCCCCCCGCC